GGGAGGGGCCTCTGCCTGGAGCGGCAGGGGCCGCTGCGGGCGGGGCGCTGTGAGGGCCCTGTCAGGGCCGGGCGGCTGCGCGGGCGCCTCCCCGCCCCTTAATTCCTTTTTAAAGCCGGCTTCGCGTTTCTGACTGAAAAAGGGGTAGACGTAGGCTTTCACTGTCCGCTAGTGAGTTGTTTCTGAGTTGCCCCAGCCCTTTCTATCTGGGGTGCTGTTCCTGAGATAAATGTGGTGCTGGAAAGCCCCCAGCAAGCGTGGAGATTACTGCAGCTCCAGCCTTGTATTTTCACTTGCCTCTGGTGGTTTTATATCTGCTGTGGTGTGCTTAGTGCAGATGGGGTGGGAGGGAAAAGTTGAGGAGGAGGGATGGGCCCTTCCTGAGAAGCGAGCCTGTGGGATCCAGAACCTACATCCACACGGGCTGTGATTAAGGCATGGAAGCAGATGTGAGCCTGCATGCACAGCACACGTGAGAGCAGGGATGTGCTTGATTTTACTGGGTTGGAGTGCAGTTTGGTGGCCCTTTTTGGTGTTAGCATGGTTTCTGTGTGTGGCTGTGGCCTTGATGGGTGCAGGGGAGTTTTCAGGGGGCTCCCAGGTGCTCTGCAGAGGTTTTGGGTGGTCAGTTCTGGGTGCAGAGAAAATAGGACTTTCTAAAAGCAGAAAGTGAGCAATGCTTGCTCTTTTAAACCATGAACTTAATGTCAAATATTCTGGCAGCAGTAGTACCTCAAGCTCTTGGGACTGTTCAGACCTCGCAGATGTGCCCTTAGCTCTGCTGCGTAGGTAGCTGACTCGCAACTCCGCGCAGGCGGAAAGCTGAAGGTGGCTGTAGTGGACGCTCTTGTGGGACCTCATGGAAAATTCTGGCTTAAAGCAATTAGATGTGTCTGCATCCTGCTCTTGCCATGGCCCTCTTTTCTAATGTTCTGTGCAAATAGGTTTTAGGGATATTGCATGGAGTTTTTTACCTTAGCCTAACTAACATGAAAGATTGCTCCGGGGGGGGTGGGGAAAGATTCTGGCTGCCTGATTTTTAAGAGCTAGGCTGTTGCCCATGGTTAGGGCATTTTAGTAGACCTGGTTTTGCAGCATTTCTGGTTTATCGTGCCAATAACTGGTCATTAATTAATAGGGAAAAATGCATAAATTGATAGTGAGGAATTTTGTTTTTAAAAATTGTATCAAGGCATTTCTACAGTCTGTGCTTAGAGATGTGTAGAACTATGTTGTGAAGGAGCCAGACCTGAACAGTGACCTTTGGCATCAATCTAGAGGATAATGTATGGTCATGGAGACTTTCAAAGGTGGTGTTTGGAGTCAAAAGTATGGTTGTGCACAAATTCCTTAAGTGGTTTGAGTTTGGTGGGATTCCCAGGAGGGCCAGTGCAAGATCTCCAGGTGTGGAGATTTTAGATTTTAGTTCTACATTAGTAACATTAGTTCCACAGCTGGAGGTTTTCAAGAAACCTGCCTGAGAAGGATGGTAGGAGCAAATTGCTTGGCATTGCAGGATTTAGGGTAGGTTCAGGGAATGAAGAAACAGATGATGAGAGGATCAAGGAGAAGATCCGTTTATTAAAACCCAGAATATGATAGCAAATATGCAAAAATTAGATTATTGAGCATAATGGGGAATTAAAACAATGCAGATGTTGCTGACTAAGATGAGAAATGGGAAGAAATACATGGTAAGAATTGAGGTAACACGAGGACAGCCAGCCGCTGTACCTGTAAACATCATTTTAACTCCTACAGCCACTGTGTGAAGGAACAGGTAGGTTGTTTGCTTCTGTTCAGTGTCTTTTTAGCTCTGGTCTCCTTAGAGATTATGTGCAACGCTTTTACAGTTTGAGATAGATGTGAAATTTGCTGCATTTTTTTTCCCCGTGATTGATCTTGCCTATTCATGTGAAAAGTGTTGCAGACTTTGACTCTGAGGATTATATCTTTATGGAAGCAGTGACATGAGACTGATCAATAGAAAAAAATAGCAACGATGATAATGCTCCTGGTTGTCCTTTGAAAAGATCAAAGGAATTCTCTGGAGTTTGGGTGCCTTCACATGATAGAAATCAGTCTGGTATTGCATGGAATCTCAAATGGTGATAACAGCTGGTAATGCCAAGGAGTCTGCAAGATGTGAGGCAAGCGTTTGGGGTCTGTTGTGGCAGAAATGAATAGGTACAGTACGTAAGTGTGAAATCTGGAGTAAATGTAGGAAAAAGGTTGGGGGAAAAAACCCAAACCTGAGGAGGTCCTGTGAGATTCCTTGTTACCCTAGGCATCTTGCAGCATTAAATGACAAATATTATGTTTACTAGCTGACTACCTGTTGGGGTTGTCTGTTTATTTCTTAAATTGAGCTGTTGCCCAGCGCATCAAATTGTAACGTGCTAAAGCATCTGGATCAGCTTGTTTGAGATGTATTTTATAGGAAAGACTAACAGGAGTTGGTCTGCAAGAAAGTGTCCTTTCGGCATATAAAAAGGAATGCATCAACATCAGGGCTTTACCTTCTGGAAATTTTTGTTGGTTTATAGATTGGAGACCTGTGCAAAGTGAAGAGTCATGGGCATGGGCTGAAATACATAGTTTGGAAGATTTATTTCATTGGTGAAAGAGGGTGATAAAGAAGGTATGATTTAAGCAGCATTTTAATTGGCCAGGATCTGCTGTCCACAAATACCTAATGGGAGGGTGTAGAAAAGATGGAGCCAGGTTCCTCTTAGAGGTGCGTAGCAGAAAGAGAAGAGACAATGGACAACAGTTGGAAATGGGAAGTCAGTACTCCATACAAGAAAAGAATTGCTTACTGTGAGTGTGCTCAAGCATTGGAGCAGGGGAGCGGAGAGGCCATGGGATCCCCATCCTTGGGGATACTCCAGACTCGGCTGCACGGGGCCCTGAGTGGCCAGTCCTACCTGGGCCCACCTTGAGCAGTTGCACTAGAGACCTTCGGGGTTCCTTTCAACCTACGTAATCTGTGATGCTGTAAAACCTGGATGTAACTGTAGTTGGGAAATACTTAATGGGCGTTTTTTACTCTAACACGTTACCTTGATTGCTTTGCTTGAATTTTATCCTTTTCCTTCTTGTCTCGTCTTCCTGCCCTGTGCTTGGCTCTGTGTGGGTAAACCCTCTTTCCTGTTGCAGGTACCCTCTGGGCCCACTTAGCTTCGTTCCCTTTCAGGTAGGGACATTATCTTCTCTGTCTTAAACAAAAGCTTAATAAACAGTGGGGAATGTTATGGTACTCTAAATAAAGAATAGTTTTTCTTTGCAAGCACAGGGAATACCAAAGAATGGTAGCCATTGGGAAAGGCTGGTATCTTAGTGGTTACGTTTTCCCTCATTCATTTATCAGTCTTTTCTGCCAGGTATTGTAATATCTTTGCATCATGTCCAGAGGTAAGAGTCACACCAATTGTTTCTGAAAATAAGTTTAAGTCTTTCTTTAGTCTACATGAATTGCATTATCCCAGGGTTTCATATCTTAATGCGGGTAATTATTGCCATATTCGTTCATAATATTCCTCAAGTTTTGAGGAAACAAAAACCTTGACAACAGCAATCAATAAGAGTTTGAGTGGCAAGTTTGTGCTTACATGGTAGCTGCTTGGGGTTATGTTTTTTTGGTTAGCTTTTTGCTTTGAGAGAGATGATAATGCTGATGTTACATGACGTAAGACACTTATGCTTCTAATGCAGTAATAAATACACTCCCAGAGATATTAAAAATAATTTAGTGAGGTGGGTCAAGCAGCAAGATTTTCCAAGGAAATTTTCTGGCAGCTAAATCTGTATTCAAAATCTGTAATGTGAGAAAATGGTGTATGAAAATCCAAACAGGCCTGGTGGGTTAGCTAAGAATTTTCTCATGGACTCAGTCATGACTCCTGTGAAAGCAATCTGATTCAAACCTATCTGGCTTTCAGGTCACTTTTATTTCTTGTTTCTCAGCAAACAGTCAAGCTCCTGAGAGCCAGCTGGCTTTCAAGCGTTACTCTGGTTATACCTAGCTCTCATGTCTGTGTGCACCAAACCAAAGACAAAGTGAAGATCTTTATACCCTGAGTTCATAGCTTGTCATACTGGTAAAGTGTTAAAATTCCAGTTGCCAGACAAATACAGTTAAGCCTAACCTGGTTTTGCTGTCCTTGGGTCAGGGGAAGAGCCCTCGTCCCTGGGAAGAGTGGAGTGGTTCATATCTGTAGTATCTTGTATCTGCTGTTCTCCACTCAGATTTCCCAGACAAGTATATATAAAATACAAAAGTAAATAATTGATCTACTTCAGGTAAAAGCCTGGGAGGTTCACTCCCAGTGTGTGTGCAGTGGAGACAGCCAGGGACTGGTGTGAAACAAGGAGTGAAGAAGCTTGATGGTATATAGTCTTAGCACGTGTCTTGTTCAAAGATAAACCTTTAACAAACGGCCTATGTCCTTTTCCTCCAAGGAGCCAAAATGAGATCTGAAATGTCCAAACCATCAAAATAATTTTGAGATCATTGGTAACTGATTGTTTCAAACAAACATATGTAATGCCAAAGACTTGTTAGTCACCTCTCATTTCGTATCTCAGTTTCTGGAAGTTGTGTTTTAGTAAGACTAATTAATATATGTAGTGTTCCAAGAGATGAACTGTAATG